ACAACATTACAGTTGAAAGGAGCAGAATTTAACATTTTTACAGAGGAAAGTGCAAAATTATTTCATGAGGTTATTAAAGTTATATGTCAATTACACCTGAGGTAGAATTTACTTGCAAAATAAAATTACTCTTATCACTACACCAAATCGAAAATTAAGCCACCAACTTCCAAATACACTTCATACAGGTAATTGATTTAATTGGCCCAGCTCAGCTGTGTACAGTACAAATATAGCCTTGACACTAATTGGGAATAATGCTAACCAGGTATAAAAGAGGTAGGTGACAGCCGATAAAATCTAGAGAGCACCGTAACTGATAACAAATTACACCCAAGGCAATAGGTGAGTCTTCATTATAAAAGTCGAAACCCTGCCTGGGTATTTCCACACGTTTTAACAAATTAACACACTCTCCATCCACACTTTTTGGGCACTACTTTAAATATATACGTGCGCCCCAAACGTACACACCTAGGTCTTTGGTGTTCTACTGTTTTTTCTTTTATGGTAAATCTGCACAGTTGGCTCTTCATTCTTTGCTATTAAATAAATTAGTTTTATCCTTTACTTTTCCGAAGAGTCTTGATTCAAAGCCACCTCGCCGTCTCTCCTCCGTTTATGGTTTTAGTTCCTTCACCATGGATTTTTACCACTGCAGGCAGTCTGTGAACGCTTGTAAAGTAAGTTACCTTCTCTCGATCAAATACCCTGCAGTAATTCATCATTTTGCTCGGTTAAATATGAAAAAAAATACAGAAAACGAAAACTGAACTACAGACATGGCTTGTTCATGCGCAGCAGACGATTCCGGTCTCCCTCCAGTATGGCTGCCGTTTGTTTTGATGACGCAGGCTCTAATGGGTCAATATGTGCTGCCTGACATGAATAACAGCTCTCCATCAAAATCTTGTCAATCTCAATTGTGGATTAAAAAAAAAAACAAGGAAGAAAATGGAACCGCTGGCCAGGTATGTGGATCGGGAGATGAGACAATTAAGGGATCATTCAGTTCGCTCCACTTCACAGGGCACGTGGCTGTGTGCCTCCAGCCAGAAAGGATCAGCACCCCGGAATTATGACTTTGGGTGTCAGCTATTCAGAGTTATTCACCCGTATAATGGCGAGTTACCCAGTTGTTAGTGTACCATTGTGTCGTGTGTGTTTGAAAAGCATACTGGCAGTTTATTGATTCACTGGGTCCCCATTGTCCACTGTATCTATCAAATCACAGTTTGTGCTGTAATTAATGCATCAATACTATTACATGTGAATAACTTACGTACATTGAGCGTGCACCATGATTGTTATTCTGAGACTTCTGTTGACTCGAAATATTGGAAAGAAAAAAGTGCAGTGAAAATTGCACACTGCAGTCGCGGTATTTGTGTCATTATGATCAGCTGCAGTAGTTGTTGAATGGGTGATTTGTTGATGTCACCAAGTACTCGTAGCCAATTTATGGAAAAACCAAAGGCCATTAGCACATAGAAATGCTAATTAAATTTACATCAAAGAAGGAATGGCAGTTACCAACAATTGTATGGAGCAGTATAGGTGCAGCATGGCACACCAGAAAGTTGCCAATAAAGGAAGTGTTTTAAATCCCTTTTTTCATTCTTATTTTCCTGGTTGCTTTGAATGGATTCTGAGAAGGGAGGGGAGTTATATAGTGATATAAAAACGGACAAAATGTGGGTTTTATGAAAATCCGAGGAGGATGAAAAGTAGAGAAGTAATGAGTCGTTTAGAAAACATTTGACTGCTATAATCAGTGGTAACTGAGTCAATTTGTAATGATAATTGTATGGGGCCAGGGGAATGAGAGGGGAAATGCATGGCTTGAAATTGATTTAGTATTCTAATGTTATGCATATGGACGTGAGAAGAAGCAGCTTGGCAAATATTGAAAAGTTAATCGAGATGAGATTTGAATAAATCTTGTTTGCTCAGGCTTTCACATATTCCACACCCAGTTTGTGCTATCAAATGTTTGTGCTCACATAAAAAAATCACTGACTAATATTGTTCCTTTTATGTTCAAATGTCATTTTTTGACATTTAACACCTAAAGACCATCAGAATTTAATGTTGTTGAATTGGATTTTTGGATAATGCTACACGTTTCCACTGATGGTACAAATCTGTTAACAGTTTAAACACACCTTTTGCATTTCCTATGGTGATTTAATCAAACCAACTAGAGCTTAATGTGTCCATAGAAAATAACTGTTTGGGAAAAACAAGGAGAAGAGGTGAAAGGGTTATATTACAATATGAAGAATCCACACCTGAGCCATAGACTTCCACATGGCAAACAAAGTTTTTCTGTCAAAGCTGAAATGAAGTCTTCTATTTTTCTTTAAAAAAGATATACCCCTTTGTCATAACTACCTAAACACCCACCAAATTCATCAGTTCTGTGTTGTAAAAGTATACAACTGGGGTGGACAGATCAATGTAGGAAGCTGCGGAAATTTTACACGTTATGGGAAGATCTCTCAACAAGATTTGGTGTGTCCTATAGAAGACCCAGATCACTGAATGCAAATAATGCACTGAAAGAATATCTTCTGCAGGAACTCAGTTTTTTTTTATTAGACAAGAGCACTTATTCTCATTCCACTCCAGAAAGTCTAAAAACAACTGCTGCAGCACCTGAACAAACCATGTTTTCATTTCCAAGGGGGATATATCTACTAACACGTGTGCCGTGAAATCAAACCTCTCTCATTTTTCACACACATACAGATGGTTGTAATGTGAGAGCTATAGGGCCATGGAAATTGGGGAAGGTTTCAAGTAAAACGCCCAGGTTTTATATTAACAGATTTCATGTAGGTCTGATATATATAAGAGCTGTACCTTTTTAAAACATGTATCGTCTGTAGGATAAAAAAGCAAGCAAGATATCTCACCCTTTCTTTTTCAAAACCGAAATATTTTCTTCTAACCTAGATGGAAAATTGGTTAAGAAAGGGAAACTATTCTTTGTGGTATAATATAATAATAATAAAAATTATTATTAATAATTTGCATTTTATTATTATATATTATATTATTATATTATTTTATTTTTTTGAGTAGGGGTGGGNTAATGGGTCAATATGCGAATCTTTTAAGAACTTCATGAACTGATTACGATTCAACCACGAATCCTGAAATTTGTCAATTCCTGGCGATTCGTGGGATTCGTGGTCTGTGTGAAATAGGGGCATGAGCTAGAGAAGTCTCTACTGACTGAATTAGTGGACAAAAACAAATCCGTTCTGGAATGTAAAAAAAATGACTTCAAAATGATCAAGCAGAAAAACGATACATAGGAAAGCTTGTCAGAGGAGTTCAACTCGCAAAGTGGGGTGAAGAAACGGGACAGCAAGCAACTAAAAAAATGCTGGGAAAATATAAAATCTCGGGCTAAGAAGTCTATTGCAAAGGAAAAGAGGGAAGCAAAGCTGACTGGTGGCGGTCGAAGTAGTGTTGCGGATGAAACTGCCTCTGCTGTAGCAGCCATTATACCATCACAGATCGACAGTTTGTCCAAACCCTATGATAATGACAATGTGGAGCAAGGTATTTATTCGTAGTAGTTACCTAGAATGCTGTTTATTATTACTGCTATTGATGATATTGTAATCGCCTGTATAAATAGATTGTCATATTTTCCGCACACTATTAAGTTATTTGAATGTATATGACAAAGTATAACTGTAAAATGGTTACTTTATTGCAATACTTCATTACAGATAAAAAAGATGCTGTACGCGACGATCAGCATGACATTCAACATGATATCCTTGTTGATGATGAACCCACTCCATCAACTGTCACTATTACAGATCTAGATGAGACTGGAAAGCAACCCACTTCATCCACTCCGCCGGTCAGGAAAACCTAGGTCACTCCTGCTCAATCCCGATGCTTGGCAATGCAGTAAGAACAACACCGTGCTGAACTCGAGTACCTGAAGATGGAGTACATGGAAGAAGAACATAAAAGAAAAATGAAAGTGCTTGATGCTGAGTTAAGTTACTGGAATAAACAGGGCGAAAAGAAGAAGAAAACTGAAATCCAAAATGCGTGATGAATCAGTAGATGCTTAAAGAACTGCTGCCATTATTGTATGATTTGGTATTGACTCAATAAATAGTTCACGCAAATACTTACTTTGTTGTTGTCCTTTTATGAGAAATGTTGCTGTATTATGGTACGTCTGGCTGCATTGCCCAATCCTCTAGCTGGAACAGGAAACTGTGTTCTACAACTTGGTTCGGTGCATTCTGCGGAGGTGGCTCATCCATGGGGTCATTCCTGGCTCAAGGTTATACAAAGTTGCTGTGGCGATAATGATGGTCAAAGTGGTCTGTAGTTTTGTGCGAAGGGACATGCTGAGGCAGGGAAACGAGCGTTTCCATGTACCAAACATTCGTTCAACTGTTTTTCGGATACGTACCCTGTACCTGAGAAGCATTGTAACAACGCTCTGGCCTTGTAAGTGGGTTTATTATTGGAGTCATCATATATGGACGACACGCGTAACCCCCATCGCCTAGCAGAATACCTTCTATACCCCCTCTTTCAAGTTGTGCACACAGACGACTGTTGTCAAATATTCGTGCATCATGTACACTGCCAGGCCACCGGGCCACGATATGCAACATCTCCAAATTGTAACCACATACAGCCTGAACGTTGATAGAGAAGTAGCCCTTCCGGTTTCTGTACAGTTCTGCGTCCACACCACCTGGAGATGGTATTTTGATGTGAGTGCAGTCGATAGCACCCACAACGCCTGGAAAACCGGCTATCCTCCAAAATCCTAGCTTCATATTTTGAAGTTCTTGTCCTTCAGGAAACCGGGTGAATTGTGGTTTAAGCGAAGCAATACCTTCTGATACTCTTTTGATGATACGACTTGCAGATGACTGGGAAATGTCACAGAGATCTCCACAAGCCATCTGGAAGGTGCCAGTGGCATAGAAACGCAATGTAAGTAGCAGCTGTATATCTGCAGGGATTGGATTGCCTCTTTCATTATGAGGGGCTATCATTGGTGTTACCAAACGCAACAATTCCTGGAAGGCGTCTTTGGTCAGTCTGTAACGTCTTCTGAACTCCTCGTCAGTGTACTTTTCATAGTCAAAATTGTACTCTCTTCGCACTTGACCGCCAACATGTTGTAATCTATTATTGTTTTCTATTCTATTTAGCCACACAACCGCCATTTTGGTAAACAAACATTGAACTGAGTGAATGTTGAGGGAGGTGTACCACACACTCAACCATCACTCAAAATTAATAACTTGAATGAGTGTGAGTGCGGTCTGTGGAAGGTTCAAGTCTGAGGTAAACCTTTCACTCATTGAGTCTTGAGTGACACTCATTGAGTGTCAAGTGGCACTCTATGAGTGTGAGTGACCTTATAGAATACGGGCGTAAGTTTACTTTTACTGAGGCTGAGGAGCCGGGTGATCCGGCTCATCTAATGCAACGGACATTCATTTGCAGAAATGATAACTTTTCATTCAGGGTGGTGCCCCATAAGTTTGCACATTATTGCATTCAACAACAAAACTTTTTTTAATACTGTTTATTGATTATTGGTGATTATTGAAAATTTTCAGTTTTGGTGTAAGTAAATCTAAGCATATAAATAACGGGTAATGAGTGAATTATTGTCATTTTCTTGTTCTTTTCTTCTTTTTAGTTATTATGAAATGAACCTCTTACATATACATATGACGAATGCACTAGTGTGAGATCTACGTCAAACCTAATTACCTTTAATTGTATAGTTAATTTCTTTACTTCGGCGTTATACACAGAGACCGCCGCATTACTCGAGAGCTATTGCACTATAACACATTACGTAATATGACTCCGTACGATCTTTATGTCGGACCCGACAATTACGTGTCTTGTAAATCCCTACGTGAAACAAAACCAAGATCCAGCGAACAATTTTTAGCCTTTCCTTTACTTTACCTTGTATAGCCCTTTCGTGCTATATTCACATTAATGACGCTTTGATATTTGGCATGATATGCATACACATGTGATTTTTGCGTTTTCAGACCCATAACATGGTTTAACTATTTCTTTAAATGAGAAAATCCTGCACACCTTGAGAGATACCTAAACATCATACAACACTTTTTGGAGCAACGTTTTACTCTAATGACGCCGTGGTGATTTGGGTTATAATTTTTGTTGAAAAAAAGTTGAATACACATTGCGTCCGCACAAACGCCT